CTTAAATTTCTTAAATCAAAAAATATTTTTAAAATATCAAAATTGTGATTAAGCATTTTAGAAATATTTAAAAAATATAACACCTTGCTGTAAATATTTAAAAAAAAAAAAAGATTGACCCTCCCGTAGATTAGTATAAAAAACAGATATTTCTTGATTAATAAGTAAAGAAAATGGTCTCTTTCAGAATATTTCTATCCACTGAGCAGATTGACTTTCTAATCGTCCATTGGTTCGGCTTTATTTTCGATCTGTCCGTTGGATTTTGGATGCTGTTCGAGAAAACACGCATACCGTCCATGATCTTCTGTACAACTTTTCATTTAATGAACTCAAGACTATTTAATATAGGTAATTATTATTTAAAATAAATTAATTAAAAAAAAAAATTTTGGATAAGGATTGATAAGATTATTCAAAGATTTTCATTGCACTATTATATTAAGGTTTAAGAAAAGATCTTTGCAGGAATGTTTCCGTATGTGTGCCTGGCAACGATGCCACTCTTTTGCCGTGTAGATTGGCCACGTAAATTAGAGCAGTATTTTGGACTGAAACAAATGATTTTATCGATTAACGCAAATTCAATCGATGCAAACAGCACAAAAGAGACTGACCAAGCAAAAGAATCTGTGAAGCCCAACAATTTAAAATTGCCTTCAAATGAAATTTTTTATAATAAAACAGTGCATGAAGGTGAAAAAAATATTTTTTTTACAATAATAATTCAATACAAGTTTAAAATATCTACAACTATTTTCAGAAAAAATAATGAACAAGGAAAAAGACAAAAAATATTTTGTTAAATCAAAATCTGAAAAAGAAACTGATGAAAAAGATAACGATACACAATCGATTAAAAGTTCAATTAAACTTAATGAAAAACGAACGATCAATATTTGTAAGAAAAATTGGATAGCTCAGCAATCATCGAAAACTACAAAAAAACAAAAGTTTGTAGCATCACTGTTGCTGTGTCATATTTTACTGCAGTTTTTTTTGCCATATTCACATTTTATATCAAAGGTACCACCTACTAATACTAGGTATTATTATATTACCCTTATAGAAAATTTAGTAATTAAATACTTATTAAACACTAAATAACAGTACTTTAAATATTCAAAATAAATAAATTATTTTTTAATATTAAATTGCTTACACAAAAAATAATTCTAAATCTGCTGACATGTTTATTTTTGCAATTAAATTAATTCTACAAAAATATATGAAACAGGTAAAACATCTTTAATTGCAAGATTTTCTAAATTTATATAAATTGTCATATGATTTTTATTTTTATTACAAAAATGTAACTTCAGGGCTATAACAATTGGGTACCTGGTCTATATGGTTATTCCTGGGACATGATGGTTCATAACTGGGACACTATACACGTAGTAATTAAAGTGCACGATAACGTAAACAACGAAGTACGATATTTAGATCCTGTCGCTTGGGTGCAAAATGACCGATGGATGAAGCACGGGGACATGGCGATACAATATTCGCAATGTTTAAAGGTGTTTTAAAGTGCCATAAATAAATATCTACCTTAAAATTCCCAATAATATTTCTGTCAATAATCATTTTTATGCCATTATATTTATTAAATATTGAATTTATTTATGTATAAATTCAGAATAATCTGATGCGTCGAAAAGAAGAATTGAAGACCAAGCATTATTCTGAAGATATGGAAAAATGGATGAAATTATCTACGAATTTCAGCATTTACATAGACGTGTGGTGTTCACTAAACGGCAGATTTCAACAGAGAATATTTAATCCAAACATCGATATGTTGACAGTTGATTGGCATCCATTTAAACCTGTTTCGTTTCTAATGCCGTTACTCACGCAATATAATTCATATAGGTATGTCTGTTTCAGTCGCTAAAATTAATTTATTATACAATGTAATAGTATTGATATTCGCTAAAAAAAAATACGTCATAAAAATAATATAAATTAATTACATTATAAAAATGATTAGTAATAATTATTAATTATTAATTTTTGGTATATAATTATTAATTATTGCTAATTGGTAACTATCTTAGTCAGCCGAGAGAGATTAAGAAAAATTATTCAAAATTTATGGCTAACCCTCCAGGAAACGAATAAAATTTGTAGTACGTTCACTTTAAAATTAATTTAGGGATAAATTCAGTATAAATTCGGAGTCTATACAAATAAATTATATTTACAAACTGAAGATACATATATGCAACTTTGAACATTAAAATATAGTACTTCTATCCCTTCTCCCCTCCTCCACATCTCATCGAAAATATCATATACCGCTAATATAAATATCGATAGATTCTTCTTTTATAAATAATTTTTTAGTAAACAAAAGTAATTTCTTTTGCTTATTAAAAAGATAAATATTTTTTGGCAAGTATTGTCCTTATAAATATTAAGATTTAATTTGAAAACACACTTAGCCACGTGTTTATTTCCTGATTTTAACTATTTTGTTTTTTATGGTTTTTAGACATAAAATGGATGAAATTCAACAGCATGTATACACTTGGTCAAATTATACGGATGTATTGTTCGTAGCCGATTTTCCAGGAATGTACTTGGAAAACTACATATCCACCGATTTCACGAATGTTTCTTTGACGGTGCTAGAAGGTGAGGTAACTTATGGGGAAGAAGAATTAATGGATATAATCACTGTGTCAAAGAAAAAATCGATCTCTGTCGGAACAGGGAAGTTTCATCGAATAAAAACTACAAGTTCTTATTCGGCATGTTACATGTATACTTACACAAATCAGACGAAGCAATTAGATAACGAAAAGTAAGTATTACATAAATATGTCATAATAAGATATTGCTACATAAAAACGTATAAGTATCTATTAAGATTTGGTGATTAATTTTGTGATATATTGCGATAGGTTTTTAAACAATATTTATAACGTATGATTTATATTTTATAATAAAAGAAAATTAATTATTTATATAAATAAAATTTATAAAACTTCTGTATACGTGAAATAAGATTTTAAAATCAAATTAATACATTTTGGAAATTTAAACTTAATACATTTTTTAGAAGAAAACCTCCTCCAGTAATAGAAAACATGCCACAATTGTTAAAAGAAATTAATTATAAAATCATTGCATGGATAAGAACGTTCGCCCATATAACAAATGCCTTCTTAAACTTGATGTACGATGTTCCTTTGGTACGACGAGTACGTGTTAGCAAGTAACGAACATTAGTAATAAGTGAAAAAAGATTAAAATTATTCCTTACATTTTGTATTAATCTTACTTCTATTTATAATTTTTCCAGAAAAATTTCTTCATCTTTTAAACGTAAATTAACTTACATTAACTTTAACTAAAGTTTAATAATATAGAAATTTAATTACTTTTTGTTAAAAATTTTCAAATTATGTTTTTTTTAGTTTATAAGTATTATAAATATTTTTGAGAGTATTAGAATGTATCATAAAATATTTCAACCTGGTTAATTTAAATC